CGGGGACAGCGGGGTCGGGGTCATCCCTGGGTCGGGGTCTGGGCTCCTCCCCGGGTCTCCTGCCCCCTGGGCAGCCCGCGTGTTAGAGGACGAGGGGCCTGTGGGCCGGCGGGGCAGGGGCCGGGCTGCCATCCCCACCCCCACCCCATCCGGGAGGGCCGGGACTGCCGGCGGCTGACAGGTGTCCGCTTGGGGGCCGGCACGGGGTTTGCAGCCCAGGTGAGGCCAGAAAACACCCGACCGGGAGGAGAGTCCAGGCGCGGTGGGCTGGGAGGGGGTGAGCGCGACGCCAGGCCGCCCCTCTTCGGCCTGATCAATGCCGAGTTCTCCCGTTACGGCGTGAGCGCTGAGCTCGACCCGAAAGGGCAGTCCCAGTGGAGAAGAGCAGGCACAGGCAGTGACTTGAAGCCACAGGCTGGGGTATTAAACGTCGGAGAAGTTACACGTGGGAAAATTATGTGATGTTTTAAATTCCTTTTATCTCCAGGAATGTCTGTTACAAGTCAAGCTTAGCGGTTGTTACCACTAAGTCATCAGAGGGCTTTTGAGTTGGTATTTCATAAAAATGATTTTCCACCCTTTTCAAGGGCACCAAAACAGAACAAATACCACTAGAAAGTAGCGTGCAATCCTTCCTTTGTCGTGGTGGAAACTGATTTTTAACAAACACACACAAAAAGCACATTGAACCAACCAGTGAGCACTAGGGATTTTCAGTTTCCATCCCCTTGACCATTTTCAGTTTCCATCCCCCTGACCTGGTATCTGAAAGTTACCTTTGAAAAGAACTATTTATTACTTTTACCACTTTGTTTTTAATTTTTCATTCCTATGTATTGCAGAGAGATCTTGTGTTGGGAAGTCATTTTACTTTAGGTATTTGTTGTTTGTTTGTTTGTTTCAAGCTGCAACTTTATTACACCACCCCAGCAAGACACAGCAGAGAAGAGAAAATGAAGAGACTGAAAGGTTGCTATGCCTTGGAGGAAGACATGAACTGATTGTTAGGGGTAGTGTAGTAATCAGCACAGAAAATAACGTGGTGAGAAGGGATTTAACCTGAAAATTGGTAAGCAAAATACAGCACCAGTAGGCCTCTAAGGAGTATATTGGTGCTTGACTATCCTCTTAGTTATCAGGGACATTCATGATTACAAATAATCTTGGCATGTAAAAGCATCACTGGAATGTGCCAGTGATAATGTGTTAAATAATAAAATGTTTTAAATGTTACTTGTCTCTCTGACTTCTTTCTTTGGGGAAAAATTAGAAATAATGTATTCCTCAATCTCTCTTAGTCATAGGCTGGAAGAAATGAGCAGAAGTGATTGGTTCATACCTTACAGATTGACACCTTCTCCAAAGCATAAATGTTAAGCGTGTTTATGCATCTCATGTTCTTTCCTAGTGGTAAGTGAAAATGTATTAACATTCTTTTGTATATATGCAGGAATCTAGAGGAAGTACCAACACGAGTTACAAAACCACGTGTCCAGAGTAATGTTTCAACAAGTGGCACTTTCCTTCAAACAAGGATTTTGAAAAACCTCTTCTCTCTTCCTTCCTTAATAAATAAAAACAAGAACAAACAAAAAAGCCCTCATGCAGCATTACTTCTCAACCAAGCTTCTTTACAGGAAGTCTCTTTTTCACTTACTGTGCTTTTCTCACTGAAATTACATGTTAAGAGGGACCTCCAAAGTATTGTGTTAAATGTTCAATTCTGAGCCTTTGAACATTCTAAGGTATTTGCCATTTTTAATTATTTAATCTTTTGATCTCCCCCTTTTCTTTGGTAGTATCTCTTTCTTGGCTCTTAAATCTGACCTTTTGCCTGGCTATTGTGGCTCAGTAGTTGAGCATCAACCTATGAACCAGGAGGTCATGGTTCCATCCCCAGTAGGGGGTGTGCAGGAGGCAGCCAATCAATGATTCTGTCTCATCATTGATGTTTCTATCTCCCTCTCCCTTCCTCTCTGAAATCAATAAAAAAAATATATAGATATTTTTTAATCTGGCCTTTGTTTCATTTGGTCCTCTTCCGAATTGTCAACACAGTGTAAATTATACAAATACTAGAGGCTCAGTGCACAAAATTTGTGCACGGGGGGGGGGGGGGGGGGAGGCGTCCCTCAGCCCAGCCTATGCTCTTGCAGTCCCAGCCCCCTTGCTCCTTACTGCCTGCCTGCTCGCTGCTCCTTAGTGCTGCCACGGAGGCAAGAGAGGCTCCCGCCGCCACCACTGAGGTCGCCAGTCATGAGCCAGGCTTCTGACTGAGCAGCGCTCCCCCTGTGGGAGCTCTCTGACCACCAGGGGGCAGCTCCTGTGTTGAGCGTCTGCCCCCTGGTGGTTAGTGCGCATCATAGTGACCAGTCATTCTTGTCATTCTGCCATAATGGTCGTTTAGGCTTTTATTATATAGTCTAGAGACCTGATGCACAAAATTTGCGCAAGAGTAGGCCTTCCTTCCCCCAGCTACAGGCACTGGCTTACCTCTGGCACCCGGGACCTGGGCTTCCCTCGCAGCCCTGGCTTCATCCAGAAAGACATCTGGTCTAATTAGCATATTACACTTATTCTAGATAAGATACTATGGGAGAATAGATAAGAAAGACTTAATCTTGTCCTCATCACATTAATTTTTTAATAAACATTTAGGTTCTTTGTTAGATTTACAGTGTGGGCAGTTGGTTCTCTTTCAGAGGAGTATATAGGAATAAGTAGTTCAAATTAGTCTCAATCTTTAAAATCTTATTTTTTCCTTCAGGTCTCAACTTTAGTGTCACTTTCTCAGGGAATCCTTTCCTAACACATCCATAGTTCTCTTAAATTCTTATATAAGTGTCTATCTAACCTGCTGAAATGTAAGTCCTTTTTTAATAGAGGAACTATTTTCCCAATACCTGTGTATAGTAGTGTATACTCAAACATTTGTTCAGTGCCCTACACCTTTTTAAGGCCTTCAATTTATAGCTCAACCTACTTCCCAACTAGTCTCTTTCTTATTCCATTCAAAACTAATCTGATCATGTCCTCCCTGCTTATAACCTTCACTGGTCTTGTTTTGTATATTAGATAAAATATAAACTACTTAACATAGCGTAAGAATCTTAGGTACCAACCCATCTCTGCAGGGATGCGCAAAAGTAGGTTTACAGTTATGACTATGCAAAACAAGAGTTTATTCTTGTATTATTTTATTGTATTATTTTCCATACAAACAACTGTAGACCTACTTTTGCCCACCCCCTGTATCTTCCCGCACTTTTTCCCTTTGCATGTGCCTTATATGAGTTTCCTCACCCAGTAATCTTCTTCCCCTCTTGCTCACCTTTCAAAGTCATCTCTTAAAACACATCTTGGACATTCGCCAGCTTTTATCTGCTAGACAGTGTAGTGCTGCTCCATATCACACCACTGTAAATGTTTGTTTCCCCTCTAAGTTTGAAACCGGTAAGATTAGGAACTTCATTTTTAAGTTCCTAGAACTTCATAGAGCTTGGCACATAGTAATTAATCTATTTGAATATAATAAATTCAGCAAATATTGAAAGCCAAGTAGCTAAGTTACTGTGGGAAATTAATGCCCTCAAAAATCTCATACAGGGACCATTAAAAAAATCACTGTAGCCCAGCTGGCATGGCTCAGTGGTTGAGCGACGACCTATGGACCTATGAACCAGGACATCACAGTTCAATTCCGGTCAGGGCACATGCCCGTGTTAACTGGATTCTCATCATTGATGTTTCTATCTCTCCCTTCCTCTGAAATCAATAAGAAATATTTAACAAATCATTGTAATGACGAGTTTATATGATAGTCTTCTCTGTATCCTTGGGGGAGTTGGTTCCCGGATACCTTCCCCCACCTCCATGGACACCAAAGTCTGCAATGCTCAAATCCCTAATATAAAAGGGCATATTTGCACATAACCTATGCATATCCATGCATACTTTAAATCATCTGTAGATTACTTATGATACCTAAGACAATGTAAATACTATGCAGAGTTGTTATACTGTGTTATTTAGGGAATAATGACAAGGAAGAAGTGACACGTTCAGTACAGACCCAGCCATTGTAGCCCTAACTATATAGTACACATCAGGCACAACCTAACTTTTTAATATTACAATCTGTGATTGGTTGAATCTACAGATGATAAACTCAAAGATATGGAGAGCCAGCTGTACATCAGGGTATTGGAAAGATCATGGCATGCATGCTATGTTAACGGCCTGATTTGAGATTTCATTCTGCGTATGTAGACATTTCTCAACCTGGTGTCACTACCCTAATTTTCTTTTAGGTTGTGTTTAAACAGTCAGCAGCCATGATTGACATAATTTGACTTTTCAAAGTATGAATTGCAATTTTTCATTTTCGAAGGTTAACCCCCCTTTTTTAAGTTTTGTACTTTGTTTTTAAGATCATTGCTAATTTGGTTGTAAAATAGGGTCATACACACTAAGGCTTCTGCCACTATGATTATAAGTTAATATTTTTAGTAGTATTTACAGACCTAAGAACTGCCCTACTCAGTTGGTGTGTTGATACTCACACATATTATTAATGATAATGGTAGTTCACTTATGAGTGACTACCTTCAAAGCCAGTGATGAACCTCTGAGTAATGATGTTTCTAATGCTGCAACACATACAAGAGAATACTTTCAGCATGCTTCATTTTCCAAAAAGATTTAAAACAACAGATTGAGACAAAGCATTTTTTATGTTCTGTTTTTCATTATTTTGAAGAAAAGCTCAGCAAAATATCCAAAATGATAGCTGGAATGTCTTAAATCAGAAACTGACAGTCCTACAGATACAGATGTGGATTGGATTCAAACAGCAAGTGGTAGTTGGACTTCAGGAGCTTCTTTGACTGTGACCCACATTAAAAAATACATTCTTGCGCCCTAGCTGGTTTGGCTCGGTGGATAGAGCATCAGCCTTCGGACTGAAGGGTCCCGGGTTCAATTCTGGTCAAGGGCACGTGCCAGGGTTGTGGGCTAGATCCCAGTAGGAGGCATGCAGGAGGCAGCCAATCAATGATTCTCTCTCATCATTGATGTTTCTATCTCTCTCTCCCTCTCCCTTCCTCTCTTAAATCAATAAAAGTATATTTAAAAGAAAAAAAAATACATTTTGCCCTAGCTGGTTTTGCTCAGTGGATAGAGCATCGGCCTGCAGACTGAAGGGTCCTGGTTCAATTCCGGTCAAGGTCACATGCCCGGGTTGTGGGTTCAATCCGCAGGGGGGCACGTAGGAGGCAGCTGATGAATGATTCTCTCTCATCATTGTTTCTCTCTTCCTCTCTCTCTGAAATCAATAATACATATATATATGTATATGTATATACATATATACATATATATAAAAGATACATTTTAACACTGTGACCTGGTTCAGGCCTCTAGCAGTAAAACCATATTCACGAAAAAGCACTTACTGCTTGTGATGTACTCTGATGTTTTCTATTCTATTTTTTCCAATGCTAGTAAATTTTCCAACCCATTGAATTGATTTTACCACCCTCTAATGGCTTGAAAGACATTACATTCGATAAAAGGTCCCAAACCTTGAGAATTTTTGCTCCTAGTATTTCCATCAGTGGCTTCCACACGCCCCTTCCCCCTTTTTAGTGGCATCCCTAATGGTAAAGTTTTTGATACATTTATTTTTAAAAAACATAACCTAACTGAATCCCATAAAACATTAGAGGCCACATATGGGCTTTACATTTATAAACCTATTTAGTTGCCTTAATTGCCCTATGAGGTTTCTATTAATTTTCAAAGATGATAACAAAGATATGGAGAAGTTGGAACTCTTAATATATTGATGATGAGACTGTAAAGTGGAGCAGCCACTTTGGAAAACAGATTGGCAGTTTCTCAAAAGTTCCAACAGCTGTCACATAGCCCACAGTTACACTCTTAGAGAAATGAAAACATGTCTGCAAAAACTCGGACACAAATGTTCATACTGAGTTATTCATACAGTTAAAGTGAAAACAATCCTAATGTCAACTGATCAATGGATAACCATAATGTGGCTGGCTCTCAGAATATTATGTGAAGCAAGAATTTCAGTTCCTTAATAAACAGTATATGGCCCAGCAAGTCTATTCCCAGGTTGTACTCCAAGAGAATTCTATTTTATTTTTTTAAATATATTTTATTGATTTTTTTACAGAGAGGAAGGGAGAGAGATAGAGAGTTGGAAACAT